GCTTCTTTCAGGTAAAGCAGCAGCCACAATCTCAGAGGACCACGTACGTGGTCATTCCACTGCCTGCTCCCCACAGCACCAGGATGGGCAGGGCTCCAACCTCTCTATGGCAGAGGACAGTCTAGATCCGTGATGGTGGCAAACCTATGGCACACGTCCCACAGGTGCCACGCAGAGCCCTCTCTGTTGGCAGTCCAAAGCCTTCAGCAGGCTTTTCTAAAACCTTTTCACTTTAGGCCTCCACTTACTTGTGCAAAAAACAACAACAACAACATAGATAGGGCAGGCTAGAAAAGTCAGTGCCCTCCTAACCATACCCAAGCACTCCGAATTTCTTGGTGATGTCCATTTTCCTCTATGAGTTGATGGTGACCTAACCCTAACCCTAAGTGGAATTTTCCTCCAGTGGGATTTTCCCATGTATTTTACCAGGAAACATCGATAGGGCAGGCTAGAAAAGTCAGTGCCCTCCTAACCACATCCAAGCACTCCGAATTTGTTGGCGATGTCCATTTTGCCATATGAGTTCATGGTGACCTAACCCTAACCCTAAGTGGAATTTTCCTCCAATGGGATTTCCCCATGTATTTTACCAGGAAACATCGATAGGGCAGGCTAGAAAAGTCAGTGCCCTCCTAACCATACCCAAGCACTCCGAATTTGTTGGCGATGTCCATTTTGCCGTATGAGTTCATGGTGACCTAACCCTAACCCTATGTGGGATTTTTCTCCAATGGGATTTTCCCATGTATTTTTTCAGGCAACATAGATAGGGCAGGCTAGAAAAGTCAGTACCCTCCTAGCTATACCGAAGCACTCCTAATTTGTTGGCAATGTCCATTTTGCTCTATGTCTATGAGTTCATGGTGATGTAGCCGTAACCCTAAGTCCATGGTGGCAAACTATGGCATGTATGTCACAGGTGGCACGCAGTGCCCTCTCTGTGGGCACACGCGCCGGTGCCCCAGTCTTAGGCCTTCAGCTGGGTTTTATAAAACCTTTTCACTTTAGGGCTCTGCCACCGTGTGCAAAAAAAAAAGTTTCAATCAATTTCAACTGCTCGTGGGGAAAAAAAAGATCTTACAAATTTGGAATTGATTGAACTTTTTAGTCCCACACAGTCTGCTGTTACCATAACCACGCCCACCCAATGGGCCATGCCCACCCAATTGGCCACACCCACCCAATGGGCCATATCACCCAATGGGCTACGCCCAAGTGGCACAGGATGATACATAAGTTGGTTTTGGGTTGCAGTTTGTGCACTCGGTCTCTAAAAGGTTCGCCGTCACTAGTCTAGATAGTGGCCCATCTATTCCTTTGGAGTTCACGTCCCAGTTACCACTAGACTGGGCTCCTTGGCGCTCTCTGAGCTTGGTTGTTTTCTTGCAGATGTTTCATTACCAAACTAGGTAACGCTGCAGCAGCACTGAAGATGTTATGTAGGTAGATAATGAAACATCTCAGAGAAAACAGCCAAGCCCAGAGAGCGCCAAGGACCCCCATAGTACAACCCCAACTACACCCATTCTCTTCCATCAGTATGATGGGCTCTCCCTACATGGTGTCACTTCCTCTGTGAACCCAAGTGACTCTGCTGGCAAAGGGCTGTGCAAATAGCTCATCTCCCACAGTGGCCAGGTGGGAGATGTGTTAGAGATGAGCTCTGAATGACAGAAGGTGAGACCCCCTTGCTTATCCCCACAGTGTTGGCCAAAATGAATCTCCAGAAATGAGAAAGATGAAAGATAAACTTGACTGAAGCTCATTTTTTATCTTTCTCCACCATTGGTGCAGGCTTCATTTCTGGAGATTCATTTCTGGTTGGTCAACTCAAGAAGCATGGGAAACACTGAAAAATATGATCATAAAAGCCCAATTCATCACAATACCACTGAAAAAGAAAAACAAGAAATCCAAGAAGAAACCAGAATGGCTGCACAAAAATCATTCTGATAAACTGAAAGACAAAAAAGATAAGTATAAAAAAATGGAAAGAGGGACACATAACTAAGGCAGAATATCAGCAGATAGCCCAAATCTGCAAAGATGGTCAGGAAAACAAAGGCTCAGATTGAACTAAGATTTGCAAAAAAAAGTCAAAGATAAAAAATGTTTCTTTCAACATATAAATAACAAGAAAAAAGTCAAGAAAACAGGCCAGTAAAGAAGGAAGATGGCAAGGAAGTAATGGGCAGTAGAGAGGAAGCAGAGCTGCTTCACTCATACTTTGCATCAGTCTTTACACCAAAAGAAACTCTAGCCCAACCTACCAAAAACATAACTGTAAAAGACAGACTAGAAATAAAAATTAAAATAAGGAAGAAAATGGTTAGAGAACACCTCTCTCACCTTGATGAATATAAATCACCAGGACCTGATGGATTACATCCCAGAGTTCTACAAAATTAGTAGAACAGCGAAATGCTGTGGACATAGTATACTTAGACTTCAGCAAGGCATTCAACAAAGTAGACCACAAGCTACTTCTTTGTAAGCTAGGAATATGTGAGATAGACAGCATCACCACCAGATGGATTTGTAACTGGCTGATGAACTGTAGTCTATAAGTTGTCCTTAATGGTACTACGTCTACATAGAGGAAAGTAAGCAGTGGGGTGCTACAGGGTTCCGTCGTACATCCAGTACTCTTCAATATCTTCACAAATGATTTAGATGAGGGAATTGAAGGGGAACTCGTCAATTTTGCAGCTGACAGTGAGCTGGCAGGAATAGCCAACACCCCAGAAGACAAGCTCAGGATCCAAAAAGATCTTGACAGACTTGAACAATGGGCCCTATCCAACATCATGAAATTTAATGTGGAGAAAAGCAAAGTTTTACACCCAGGCAGGAAAAAACAAAGGTACAATTAGGTGTAACCTAGGTCAAAAACAGTAACAGTGAGAGGGACCTTGGACTCCTAGTGGATGATCACTTAAATCTGAGCCAGCAGTGTGCGGCAGCAGCCAAAAAAGCTAATACAATCCTGGGTTGTATAAACAGAGGCATAGAATCAAAATCACGTGAAATATTATTACCACTTTATAAAGCCTTAGTAAGGCCACACCTGGAATACTGCATCCAGTTTTGGTCACCATATTACAAAAAAGATGTTGAGACTTTGGAAAAAGTGCAGTGAAGAGCAAGTAAGATGATCAAAGGCCTGGAGACTGAAACATATGAAGAACGGCTGCAGGAATTGGGAACGTCCAGTCTAGAGAAAAGAAGGTCTAGTGTGGACATGATAGCAGCCTTCCAGTATTTGAAGGGCTGCCACATAGAGGAGGGGATCAACCTGTTCTCCAAAGTACCTGAAGGCAGGACAAGAAACAACAGATAGAAGCTAATCAAGGAGAGAAGCAACCTGGAAATATGGAGAAACTTCCGAACAGTGAGGACAATTAACCAATGGAACAGCTTGTAACTAGAAGTTGTAGGGGCTTCATCAGTGGAGGTTTTTAGGAAAAGACTGGTATAGGTATAGGGTCTCCTGCTTGAGCAGGAGGGTGGACTAGAGTCCCTCCAACGTCCCTTCCAGCTCTATTCTGATTCAGTTTCATTAAATCAAGGCATCAACTAGGACCTGAATCTAGAGAAAGGCCGCTTGGGGGCGGTAGAGGTCCACACCCAATTCACCTCCTGATGTTAGTGGTCCACCAGAGACTGAACTGAAATGCTCACTGGAAAGACCCCAACCGCCCACAGGAAGCATTAGGCACCATCTGAATCAGTCCCACGGAGGACACAGGTGGCTCTTAATTGTGACTGGGTCAGGGCACGATCGGACCATAGCAACCAGGTAATAAAAAGTCCATTTCCAAATCACTTAACAGAATAACAGAGTTGGAAGGGACCTTGGAGGTCTTCTAGTCCAACCCCTTGCTCATGCGGGAGACCCTATATCATTCCGGACAAGTGGCTGCCCAATCTCATCTTAACACAAGGTCTAAAGTAGGATGTCTCTAGATGAGCCCGTGACTGCCACGGAGCTCCCAAGGCTGGAGATTGTCACCGACAGCCAAAGGAGAGGCCACTCCGCGGTCCCTCTGGCTCCTCATCGGTGAGATTCAGGACTTCAAAGCGATTCTTGGTGTTCTGGAAAATGGTGGATAAAAGTCGAGATCGTATCACAGACACTGGTTGGCGTTCTTTTTCTTCTTTAGCTTTACTTGGAACTTGGAAAGGAGCAACTCGTGATTTGTTCCACGGTCAGCCCCCCCCGATGACGTATTTGCCTTTTTTTAACTGAGCTCTTCCGTCTGGTGATACCCAGGGTTACAGGCACCATTTGGGCGGTTTGAAAACTGTTAGCAATGAAGGACTAATTGGCCGAAGCTAATAGAGGGTTCCCCTGCTTCATTTCTCTTTCCGAAGCCCATCGAGTCCAACTCCGCTCCCCTTTGGCCGGGCACCCGCACGAGGCATTTCATCCGGCGAGGCAGCTTCTCCGGCGGCAGAAACCCCGTCCCCCCCCCACCCCCCCACCCCGACTCGCTCGGGAAGGGCTCCGGGGGCGACGAAGCCTCGCGGGCAACCTGGCGATGCTCTCCTTGGCCACCCGAGGGCGCCAACACCACGCATTCAGGCAGGGAGCGCCTTTGCCTCCCGCCTCCTCCGGCGGCGCCGCCGCCCTCTTGGCCCGCCCCCCCCCGCCAGGACCCCGGCCTCCGCTCCAGCGCCGCAGAAGGGGCGGGCGGGGGCGGGCGGGGGCGGGGGGGCGGGCGGGCGGCGTCGCTAGCAAGGAGGGCACCGAGCCCGACCGGGTGGGCGCCAAGGAGGGGGAGCTAACGTCACTCCCCCCCGCCCCCCACGCGCGTTTCACGAGGGCGCGAGTGACGCCTCTGAAGAAAAGGGGAGCCGCCGACGCGCCCGCGGAATCCCCTCCCCGCGGTTCCGCCCCTCCACCCAGCAGCCCCACAGCCGGGCGGGCCGCGCGGCACGCCGGGAATTGTAGTTTCTCGGGCGGCCACAGGCCCCGCCCTCCTCCACCCGGAAGTGGGCTGGCGGCTCCAAGATGGCGTCTCCTCCCGCGGGGGGCCCGATGGCGATCGCGATGCGGCTCCGGAACCAGCTCCAGGCCGTCTACAAGATGGACCCGCTGCGGAACGAGGTGAGGCGGGGGGCCGGGCGGGGGCTCCGCTCGCCCCGTGGCCCCCGCGGGCAGCAACCTCTTCCGCGCCGCCGGCGGTGCTGCGGGCGCGGGGAAGCCGACCCCCGGGGGCTCCGGTGCCGGAGACGGGGCGGCCTGGCCGGGAGACGCGGGGAGCGGGCGGGGGCGGGGCCCGGCCGGGCTTCGGGGAGCGTCTCTGACCCGGCTCGCCGCCCGCCCGCAGGAGGAGGTGAAGGTGAAGATGAAGGAGCTGAACGAGCACATCGTCTGCTTCCTCTGCGCCGGCTACTTCATCGACGCCACCACCATCACCGAGTGCCTGCACACCTGTGAGTGGCCCGGAGGGGGCAGGGGGGGAGGGCGCCGGGCGAGGAGGGGGCCAGACGCCTCTGCCTCCCCGGAGAACCGCCGGGGCCCCGTCTCCCTCTCTCCGCGGCATCCGACGCTGCTCTCCTTGGGTCTTCGCGGCGCGTTCCTCTCCGCCCTTCGGGCAGGCGCCGCCGGAGCATCTGCGACGGGCCACTGCCAGGCAACCCCCCTCCCTCCCCCGCACAGGAGAATTTGCCCCTCTCGGAGTCAGGAAGTTCCCCCAGAAGCTGCCTGGACCTGGTAGTCTTCACCCGCTGGCTTAGTCGGAGATGGCCAGATATTTGACGGCTGCTCTCCCGACGACTCCCCCCTCCGGCACCTGTCAGCTGAACGTACCCAGAGGAAAGAGTCACCCTTTTGCCATCTTGATCCCCCTCTCTGGTCTTGCTGCTTGAATTCGGCTGCTCTGCGCTGCCCACGGGACCCTACCCTGGGCCCAACAAGGCAGTGTGGAGGTGGACAGCCCCTTCTGCGCTGTGGCAGCTGCACCCACCCCACCCCTGCCACCACTGCTATACCGGATGGGGCCACCCGAATTCCTTGCATTGGAGTATTATGAGCCAGGTCCTATCAGCCAGGCGGAGATTAGGAGAGACCTGGCTCAAAAACAGCCATCGTGAGAGGGACCTGGCAGTCCTAGTGGATGGTCACTTGACTATGAGCCAGCCGTGTGTGGCAGCAGCCAAAAAAGCTAACACAATCCTGGGCTGTATAAACAGAGGCATAGAATCAAAATCACGCAAGGTATTATTACCGCTTTGTAAAGCCTTAGTAAGGCCACACCTGAAATATTGCATCTAGTTTTCAGTCACCACATTACAAAAAAGATATTGAGACTTTGGAAAAAGTGCAGAGAAGAGCAGTATTAAAGTATTAAAGGCCTGGAGATAAAAACATATGAAGAACGGTTGCAGGAATTGGGTTTGTCTAGCCTAAAGAAAAGAAGAAAGAAAAGAAGAAACGGGGTGACATGATAGCAGTGTTGCAGTATTTGAGGGGCTGCCACAAAACCTCCTGATAGACCCTGCCCCATAGTTCTATTAAAACTGAAGTAGAACGGCTGCTCCTGAGTGTGGTCATTTGGCCAGCCAGGGGTCTCTGCCACATGCCCTCATTTAGTCCGCATTTGGCTATTTCTTGAAGGAGGATCTCCTGAGTCCAGATGCTCCAGGCGTTTGGCATTCCCCTCGTCTGCTAAACCAGAGTCTCTGTCAAAGAGGAGGATGAGGCGAGTCAGCCATCCAAATGCTCTGGGGTTTATTCCTTCAAACCATTCACATGTTCTCCGGCATCTGCTGCACAAAGGGGGGTCTATTCTTTGGAAGAGGGAAAAAACATCATTGCTCTCTCCGCTTGCTAGAGGTCGAACGGCGGCACTTGGGTCCTGTCCCTGCGCGCCCCCCCCTCCATCCCCACAGTGCCAACTGCATGAGCCCTACTGGTCAGGGAAGGCAGAAGCGGGGCAGGGTCCAACCTTGCCTGGTCCGCCAGGCCCTTGGTGACGGGCCAGCCATGGCACCTCTTCCCTCCCGCAGTTTGCAAGAGTTGCATCGTGAAGTTCCTGCAGACCAGCAAGTACTGCCCGCTCTGCAGCACCAAGATCCACGAGACTCAGCCGCTGCTCAACCTCAAGCTGGACCGCGTCATGCAGGACGTTGTCTATAAGCTGGTGCCTGGCCTGCAGGAGAGTAAGCATGGGGAGGGGGCTTGTGGGGCTCTCGGCCCACCCGCTCTCGGGGGCTTCCTGGGGAACCTGGTGAGGGCCAGTGGCGGGAGATTCCTGGAAGGGCCTCGCTGGCCCATGGGCAGCAGGGAAGCGCCTCCCAGTCACACGCAAGCGGCAGGGGGGCTCCAACCTGCTGCCTGTGTCCTTCTGTGCAGGGGGTGCCGAACATCCCCTTGCCTTGGACCCCCCCCCCCATTTTGCTGGCTGTGCCCCTCCCCACCCCTCATCCCCAGGGAAGGCAGCTCCTCTCCTGAGAGAGAAGGGGAGATTCTTCACATGCTGCTGTAAGGGAAGGTCCTTGGTCACTGGGGGGGGGGGGAGGGTGCATGAGTCCTCGCTGGAGGTCCCTCACGGAGAGGTTCCCTCCTGGCAACGTGTTTCTGCTGCTAGGCATTTTTAGGTTTAGATCCAAAAGTTATTAAAAGGCGTAGCATCCTAGAATAATTTTGTGCGTTTTGTTCTGAAGATTACTGTAGAATCTTATTTAACAATGTTTATTGTCTGGTTAAATCGTTTAGGAAGCTTTTCTGAAAGGCTGACTTAAGTAGCCAACCGATCATAGCAGCTCAGCAGCAGCTCAGCCTCCTGTGTTAAGGGAGCTTGCATGGGCCAGGCACACACAGACAGGCAGGCAGGCAGACAGACAGGCAGGCAGACAGGCAGACAGACAGACAGGCAGACAGGCAGGCAGACAGAGTGTTCCCGGCTGGGCCAGCAAATTGCCCTTCATTCCTTGCCTCTCTTCTTTCTCTCCCCCCCTCCTGCCCCAAATGCCACAGGTGAGGAGAGGAGGATCCGGGAGTTCTACCAGTCCCGAGGGTTGGAGCGGGGGAGCCAGGCCAGCCACGAAGGTAAGACTTGCCCTCCTGCTGCGCACAGCCTGCTGCAGAGGGGATTTTGGTGGCCCAGAGCCCGTGGCTGATGTCCTACCTTCCATCCCAGACCCTGCCTCGGACCGCGTGGGCCTGCCCTACACCACCTTTGACCATTCGCGCGCTCACTATTACCGCTTTGATGAGCACGTCACGTTGTGCCTGGAGAAGCAGAGGTGAGGAAGGGAGGGCCAAATTCAGCTCTGGGGAGGGGCCAGGGCCCCTCCCGCTGGTCTGCCTCCAGGGCCTTTGCCAGGGAAAGAGTGGAGGACAGAGCAGGCTGGCTTGGCTGCCAAGTAGCGGCAGCAGTCCTCCCTCAGGGCCTGGCTGGTTCAGAGGGGGTGGGAAGGGGGCGGGCGTCCTGCGGGCGATGGGTTTTCCTTCATTGCTTCCTTGCCGATTCAGGGTCCGCAGATTCCCTGGGGGCTGCTGGCAGGGGCTCCCCTTCTCTGGGCGCCCGAGCTGCTCCCACACTTCCCTCCCTTTTGAGGCGGGCCAGATTCAGCCTCTCCTGTCTTCTCCTCTTGCAGCAGCTCTGGGAAAGAGAAGAGCAAACACGTCCTGCAGGTGAGGAGACCTGGGCACCCGGCGGGCAGCTTTGGGGCTGGTTCTGGCCCCCTCTTCCCGTGTGGGCGAATCCCTGTGTGGGAAAGGGGGGTGCTGGCAGACCCCTCCCACCTTTCTGGAGCAAAGAGTATTGAAATTGCGGGAGGCGCTGCAGGGCTGAGCGTCTCCTCATCCTGTTGGCTTCATCTTCATCACTTTCTCTCTGTCCTCCTCTCCCTCCCCCCCCCCGCAGCAAAAATACGTCCGCTGCTCCGTGCGGGCCCAGATCCGCCACCTCCGCCGGGTTTTGTGTTGCCGACTAGAACTGGCCTTGCAATATGTGAGTGAGGGTCCCACCCAGTGCAGGAGGGTTTGCGGGCCATGTGCCAAAGGCCCGGGGAGTGGGCTTTCTGGCCCCTGCTAATGAGTGTGCGGGGCACCTCTCCCACCCAGGTACAGATCCTGTTCGACAACGAGGTGCTTCCGGATCACCTGACTCTGAAGCAACTTTGGCTCACCCGCTGGTTTGGCAAGGTGGGGGCACATTCCTGGGCGGGCTGCCCTCTTCCCCACCCCCAGGCAGAGCACTCACCGGGCTCTCTTGTCTTCCAGCCAGCCCCTCTGCATCTCAGCTACAGTGTGAAGGAGAAGAGGAGGTAGGGGACGATGGACCGTGATGTCCCCTTCCCAGAGCTGGTGGCCCCCGCCCCCCACCCAGCCCTTTAATTTAAGGATCTCTGCTCTTCCACGGGCATTTATTTTTGTAATAAAAAGACTGATGATGGTCTCTTGGGCTCCAGCATTTGGCTCCTGGAATGAACAGGAATCTCTTTGCAGGGGGAGGGGCTGCCGAAGTAAAGCTGCAGTTCTGCAGGCTGGCCAGCTGGGGGCAGGGCCACCCCTAGCCCGCCCTGGCCTGGAGGGTGGATTCCCTCTCCCTGTCCCTGGGCGGTGCTTTAATGTGCCTCAGCTAAGGGCTGTTTACCCAGCAGACTGGATCCCCATCAAGCCCCCCCCCTTCCAGGAGGAGGAGTGAGGAGCGAGGAGGAAGGATCTCCCTGCAGTTCGTCTGCCTCCCTCTCAGTGAAGCCTTGAGGCTGGTCTGGGTGGACTAAGGCCTCCCCCCCCCAGCCAACTTAGGACCCATTGTTTGGGCAGCCGGGACCCCCAGTACTTCTGCATTCCCCAAGCTGGGCTGCCGTCAGGCCGGAGTTTGCAGCCACTTTGCCGGTTCTGGTTTCCTGACCAGGCCAGCTGTTGCCATTTCTCAGGTGCGGGAGGGCCCTTGGGCTGGGCTGCTGCTCCTCCTCCCTCCTGGGAAGCCCCCCCCCGCCCTTGCTAGGGAGCTGGTGAAATGATGGGGATCTGGGGGTGGGCGTCTGTGTGTGGGGGTGCCTCTCCCAAACTGAAGAATCTACCTGGTTTTTGAGGGACCCTCTTAGTTTTATTGCGCCAGAGGCCAGAAAGAATTTTATACGTGCTCAGGGATAGTCTGCTTTTTCTTGGATTGGAAAGCTGAACTCTGGAAAATTTTTCCTTTCTGGCGGGGGGGGGGGAGCTCTTTCCCCCATTCTGGAATGCGCGCTATGGAGGGGAAACCCCGGGGGGGGGAGCGATCCTTTGTCACACACAAAGGGCGCCGGTCGTGCGCTGGGCTGCTAATAGCCGGAGGGTAATCCGAGCCGTCTTTCTTCCCCTCGGCGGAGCAGCCTGTGGCGGGAGGGGGCAGGGACGTGGGGCACTGCGTGCTTCCCAGCGCAAAGCCGCCGGGGCTGGTCGGGGCAGCTGCCACATCACGCCCGAGCACAGGTCAGCAGGTGCGCGCTGGGTGTTACTGCTGCTGTAGAGACCCCACCTCTCGGGGGGGGGCGGTGGCAGCAGCCCTCTAAGCCAAACCCAGAGACCCTACTGGGGCTTGAACTTTCACCGGCGGGCTCACCTGCGGGCATTCCCGGCGCAAGGGAAGCAGACCGGGCTGGCTTAGTCCGGCTTAGCGAACCCCCCTCGCAGCCCCAGGCGGTAATTGACGCGCCGGCAGTATCGCGACCCTCCCTCTGCGACCCTCGGCCGCTCGCCAAGAACAACCCCCGGCTTAAGGAGAGCCTCAGCTTTCCGGACTCTTCCGAACCGAGAAACCGGGGGCCCTGCTCTTAGCCCGGCTTTTGGGTCAAGACCCACAACTGCGCCCTTGTCTGCACCACGCAGAGACTTCTAGCTCCGTGCCAACCCGGGATCTCCTCCGGTTCTCGGCCTTTCGCCTGCTGGAAAGCCGCCGGAATTGCGGGCACAGCTGGGAGGGAGGAGGTGAAGCCCAGAGAAAGGAGCTGGAGGGGCTCAGCGCAGCGCGGACCCTCCGAGCCCCGCGCCGCCGACATCCCCGCGCGGGAGATTCCTTTTGCAAAAGAAACGGGGCGGAAGATCAGCAGCTGGCGGCCCCATAGCGAAAGTGCCGGTGGCTTCACCGTGGGGCCGCCGTCTGTGGCGCCGCCCTTTCCTCGAGGAGCAGCCGCTGACTGCGGAGGGGCGCCTTCGGAACTGGCATTCCTGAAGTCACGCGGGCACGCGCGATCTCCTGCATGGTTAACTTAATCCTGAAGAGTCACAAACGGGCCAGTGATCTGGAAAACTGTTGGACTCTTCTCAAGAAGATTCGGCGGCGGTGCCCCCGAAGCGAAGCTAGGAGGGGAAATCCCTGCACTTGTCCCAGCGGGAAGGGAAACAGGGAAAATGGCTCGTCAGCGACTTGGGGGGGAGGGGGGAGGGGGGAGGGGGGAGGAAGAGAGGCAGCCGGTCTTTTTGATGCTAGGAAAGGGAACCCAAAGCCCCTCCCCCTCCTCCTCTCCCTGTTTTTCCTGCCCTCCAGATTTGGCACTTTCGGTAGTCCCAGGTGGCTCCTGGAGCAGACCAGGTCCGAACCCCCAGACCATCCGCAAACCATGTGCGGCAGATGACCCTCTGGCACAACTGGTGCCAGCAGAATCTGAGAAGCGCGACTCTGCCTTCCGGTCTTTGGCACCGACCAACAAGTGGGCATCTTCAGACGCCATCCGACCAAGCAGGGCCGAAGGGTGGATTCCTGCGTGGCCTTCGCAGATCCTCCAAGGGGTTGAGCTGCCTTCTTCCCATGCCAGCTGAACCTCCCCATCACCTGGCAGGAAGGGCCACCTGACACTCACCTGCCCAGAGCCCGGGTCCAGATGTCAGCTGAGGATATGCGGGGGTGTGGGGGGGGAGAAGATCTCCAGCCAGGCTGCCTCGGGCAACGCAACGCGGCCTGGCTGAAGAGGAGCTCCTAGAGGCCTTAGAGGCCAGGTAGGTGCAGACGCTCCTTCCTCCTCCTCCTCAGGGGTCGGGGAGAACAGGTGAACCTTGGACCACTCCCTGGCTTCATCCCACAGAAAGGCAGCTGAGCCCTGCCCAGCCCCGTCTGGCGCTTCCCCTCCCCTCAGCTGGCAGAGGCGACCGCCGCGCGGCCGTCACGGGGAAGGGGCTGTCAGAGCAGAAGCGGGATGGAGGCTCCCCGTAACGAGCTCACTGGAGACTAAGCTAATGAGAAAATCTAAAGGTAATTTTGTCAGAATGTTGCCCGATTGGCAGCAGGCAATGACTGTGCGGGAGCAGCCTGAGCCAACGCAGCCATCCAAGCGGCGGGGGCGGGGGGCG